ATCACTGAGCCATCTTTCCAGCTCCATGACTGCACTTTTAAGAAATAATGTTTATGTTTTAATAGATATCAAGTGTCAAGAATGTGACAAATCTGAAGAAAGCACATTGTAAGTAAAATATGTAATTAATAACGCAGTTAAAAGAAGCAGAAAAACTCAAGGGCTCCATTCTTTTTTTATCTTTTTTCCCCCCATTTTTAATTTAAATTAGAAACAAGTTAGTTTTACATGTCAATCCCAGTTCCCTCTCCCTCCCCTTTTCCCCTGCCCCCAACTAACACCCTACCTATCCCATGCCCATTCTGCTTCCCAGAGAGGGTGAGGCCTTCCATGGGGGAACTTCAGAGTCTGTCATATCCTTTGGGATAGGGCCTAGGCCCTCCCCCATGTGTCTAGGCTGAAGGAGTATCCCTCTATGTGGAATGGGCTCCCAAAGTCCTATGATAGGGATAAGTACTGATCTACTACAAGAGGCCCCATAGATTTCCGAGGCCTCCTCACTGAAACCCACTTTCATGGGATATGGATCAGTTCAAAGGCTCCATTCTTCCAGATCTTTCTCTCCGCACCCCCCCACCCCCGACACACACTCATAACTACTCAGTGGGAACTTTATTGAAAGAGCTTATGTAAAAGACCATTGACAGTAACCTGAATGGAGAGAGAATGAGAAGAAGAATGAGACTGAGGATTAGCCAGATGTAGTAAGGCAAGCCTGTAATCCCATAGTTCCCCATTAAGGAAGGGAAGAAAGGATGATCCTGAATTCAAGGACAGCCTGTATCAAGGCTACATAGTGAGACCTTGTCTCAAAATACTGATAAACAGTCATCCAGGGGTGGTGGTACATGAAAGGTTCAGTACATGCCATTGATCCCATCTTTCAGGAGGCAGAAGTAGATCTCTATAAATTGAAGGCCAGCCTGACCTACATAATGAAGTCCAGGATAGCCAGGGCTACACAGACACTGTCTCAGAAAAACAAACACAACAACTAAAAGGCCCAGAGTCAATCCATAACAACTACCTCCCCAAATAATGATTGATTACTAAATTTGTTAAGTATTATTCATGCAAATGCCATTGATCTGGCGAGAGTTCCATTTTAAGAAGTAAGGTATACTTATTCTGAATTAGGAATATTAAAAGGAAATGTAGGGCAAGAGAATCAAGCAATGTTAAAACAAACAAACAAAAATCACCCATTAGGTCTCCTCCCTTTCCTATGTGTGATTCATAATCATTTCTTTGTGTTTAAGGAAATTCCCATTTCCTTACTATTACTATAACTCCCAAGAATATCATCTGGATCCAGAGCATTGACAAGTTCTAAAACAAATGCCTTCTTCATCACTCCTACATGGGTCATCGTAACCTCATTGGCCTTTCTCAGTACATAGCAAGGCAAAAAACAAAGTTTTGTAGTAGGTGAGAAATACAGGAAGAAGCAGGTCAAACAAAGGCACGGAGCTAAGCACTGCTGAGCTCTTAGGTAAATCCTTACTAGAACCAGACTGATGTTGTAAAACCCAGGCCAACCTCCTGGATGCTTAGTCACAAAAGCCAAAATCTCCTGTTAGGGTCAGTCCAAAAATAGGAAGCGTTTTATACTTTCCAGTTGTTTTAGCCAAGTATCTCCTGGTAAAAAGTAAATGTACATATTCATATAGATTTTTATGATGCAGGATATGAATTCCCATCAAGCTTATAAATTCTTGCTTTTGGTTATTTGTAACTGGTAGAATGTTGCTAGCTGTAAAAAGGGATCTAAATCAAATATTTCCCACAGGACTAAGAAAAACAGCGTGAATTTCTAGGGAGAAAGCTATTAGAATTATGCCACAGAAAATTTCTCTGATTTATTTTTTTGCAGTTAGAAAACTATCCGTCTTGTCATATGCTCTTTGAAGTGATAACTATTGTGTTATTTGTACCCTGTGAACCTGCATGATTTTAATGTCACAGGAAGTGTGATATGGTAGAAAAACACCCCTGAATAATAAAGAACCAGGCCAAGGAGGCCCACCCAAGTGCCTATTTGAGGAACCTTGGACTAGAGAGAAAATGAGGACATTTTGATTACAGACTATTGGATCTTCTAGAACAATTAAAGGTGCCATTTCTAAGGATGCTGCTGCAATTGTTCGGTATCACTCTCCACCATCTGGTGCTGCTCTGCTGTCTAATGTGATAAAGTACCATGAAGAAAAGCAATGCAGGGCTGTGGGAAAGCACTTTAGGGTGGCTACTCCTCAGGTGAAGTGATCAGAGAAGGAAGAGGGAAAGGAGGAGTGGGGGGAAGTGAGGGGGGACAAGGAAAGAGGAGGAGAGGAGGAAGGGGAGGAGGAAGTGCCTTTTGAACACATGCTGGGATAGAGTTAGGAAGTGAGATATGCAGACACTCCAGGGGACCATGGAACAGCAAGGACACAGTCCTCAGGTGACATCCTTGGAAATGCTTCCACAGGCTCCACAATGATGGCTTTCAATGAAATTGTCTCTGTTAGTCTGCTTTCAGGAAGATTATTTATTTATTGTTATTTATTATTATTATTATTAATTTATTGTTTATTTACCTGAAAGGAGCTTCCTGCAGGCCTAGGGCAACTTTTGAGGGGGTTTCCTGTCCCTGTCGTGCCTGGCATTTTGATGATATAGTATCTGTGGGTGAATGTTTACCAGCTTCCCGAGGAATCACTGTTGTCTGGAATCTCAATGGGCTCTAGGATTTCCTCTGAGCTCTGAAGCTGACTTGAAAAAGCTGAGGAACTTGCCTCAGACATTGCCTCCAGGAGAGCTTTGATCTGTCTGTAGCAAGCTTCACATACCTGAGCTGCTCTGTTTGCAACAGAGGAACACATTCATGCTTGCTTGCTCAATGACGATCTGTACCTTTTTTGAGAAACTATAAAAACAAGCAAAATATTTTGATTTTTCAGTTTGTGATCTAGTGGAAAAGATAATTAATACCTCTATAGTTATAAAGGCCACAGTGATAACTCGTATAAGAAAAGATAAAGGAACAAGGGACTACATTTATTTGAGTATTAAAACAGGACTCCATAGAATGTCCCCCAAACACTTGGAGCTCAGTAAGCTAGGCACTCAATAAACATTAGTGACTGCTATTTCCAGGAGTGGCTTTACAGAGCAAGCAGGATCAGACTAAGTAGGACTGCTTGCCAGCCAATGGGATGCCCCGTTAAGTTTGAATTTCACAAGTATAGCAATAGCATTCCAGTAAGAGTATGTTCCAAATATTACAGAAGACATACATATATTGCAAAAGATACACTGTTTGTCTGTCTGAGATTCAAACTTAACTAGCCATTCTCAGTTTTTATTACTAAATATAACAAACTTAAGTCAAAGGCTTCTGTTAACTTTATTGAATCATGACTGATAGGTAAAAATTGTGAAATAATTCCCCTTTGAGATAATTAGCATATGTATTCACTCATTTGATTATCTTTTCCTTTCCTTCTTTTCTTATTTCCCCCATTTTTCATCTCCTCACCAATACTGTGGACCCATCTCCGGGTTCCCCATTTCAGGTTTCACACAGAAGTGAAATCATGTCTGTTTAGTTTCTTTGTTATTGTTTTGCTTAAAAGGAAGAAAAGAGAAATGCTGAGACATGAGACCATAAGACTATAAGTTTATTATAAGGCCCGTCAGAATGAGGAAACTAAGAAGAGGAACAGGGTAAATGACTGACCGCCAGGGCTGGTCACCATAGAGAGACAGAGCGGGGAGGGGGGGAAGAGAGAGGGGAACAGAGCATACAGAGAGAGTAAATGGGCAGGGGCCTATCTTTTAAAGGGGTCCTCTGCACCTGCGAGCAGACCTAGTTCCCATGGAACCTTGGGCTGACCAGGGTATTGCCTGTTCAACCAGGTAACAGGGGCAGGCCAGCATAATGCCTGAACCTTTCATTCTTTCACTTAGCATATTTCCCCAAAGACAGGTTTCTCTTCTTTTCACCAGCTGAACAATAATTTCTTGTATTTACCCTTTTCTTTATCCATTCATATATTGAGGGGTATTAAGCTGCTTCCCTAGTGTGTAATTGTGAATAATGCAGCAAAAATCTGTTCAAAATCCAGCTAGTGCTTTAGGGGGAGGATAGAAGTGGGTAGGTGGGTCATACGGCAGTTTTACTGAGAACTGGATATGGAGATGAAGAGCAAATGAAGAGAGTCCATGCCCAAAGACAAAAATGAGGAAAGAAAGAGCACTTTCCACAGCATTTCTGTTCTTCACTGATGGCTACCACTTACTACCAGGCAGTGGTGGTGACCACTACTCTGAAGGCCTTGAGATAATTCACCCATTAATTTATTAACATGTAGTAGGTTGCCATTGCCCTCATTCTTTAAATGAGGACACTGATTCACAAGGATGAAAAGTAAACTTCATACAAGCACAGAGCCAGGAAAATGGAGCTAGGATTGTGGAGGTAGGTGTTTGGCCCCAGTGGCTGCTGTTTTGACACTTGAATGGAGGAAAACCATCTGTTTAACATAAGCTTACTGTAAGCTTTCAAGTCGTTTTGAAAGTAGGATGAACTCTGAATCCTACACACACAGTCAAATGTCATTGGTTAAATCTCTCCTTCACAGAAGTGACAGCCAGAATGCCCTAGAAACCCTCACCTTCCTTTGGGTGTGGAAATGATTCATCTTTGTACCCTCAAAGTCCCCCCACTTCCTGGAATGTGGAATCTTCCCCCAACTGCTGGCTGCACAATCAAATGCTACCATTTGCAACAACTTATCAGAAGCAAACAAGCTACAGAGAATTGAGCAAGAATTTCCGGGATACCAACATTATGGTCAGAGCAAAGGATGCCATGTGAGCTTTGGCTCTTTGAGTAGGACAAAGGTGATGATTAACCCAGTCTCCTGCAGATTTAAGTAGGATGGGAGCTAAGAGTAGAGTCATTCCTCCTTTCTTTCAGCTGCAGTGCTCCTCATGAGCCATCCTCATACTAAGAAAAGATGCTTTCCCTGAAGGTCACCTGCCTCATCCTGAGTGTGGCCAGCACTGTCTGGGTATGTACTTTCTCTTCTGTCATTGTCTGGTATTTCTCCTACAAGTAGCTTTGAGTTTGGAGTCTACCAGGTCTATTACATTAGTTAGACTATTATATACCAGGTCTTCATTCTACCCTCTCTATAAATGCCAGGCCATGGAGGCAAATGCCTAGATAGGCTTGACAACTACACAGGGTCCTGTGATGTTGAGGAAGGCCATAGGAGGGCATAGTGAAAACATCATCAAGGGAACCTGACATCTGTCACACAGGCTGACTCATTTGTGAGATTTCATCTTCCAACATGGCACTTTTGTTTGTTATATGTTTTCATGGTGCTCGGGATCTATTTAGTGTCTGGGCATGACAGGAAAGCTTTCTACAGTGGAGCTACGTTGCCAGATTGCCAGCCTGGTGAATGTCCCCACACCTTTTTCCCTCTGAAGTCTGTAGACATCATACTAACAGAACAAATCATTTGGTAGGAATTGTTCTCTAACTTGTCATTTCTGGCTGTTTGTCTATGATAAACAGCATGTTTTAGGTTTGGTATAGCTGTTCTGTAGGTTTTCGTAATGTTGAGGACTGAGTCCAGAACTTTCTAGATGCTAACACACATTCTCCCATTGAGCTACATCCCCAGCCCTAAAGGTAGTTTTTCTATCTTTTTGAAGACATAAAATGTAAAAGGCAAATGTATTACCTTTGAAAACACACAGAAAATTCAGAAGGAGTTAGTTGTGAGGCAGTGTGTTCTTCGGAAAGATTTGTGCTTTTTTTTTGGATAATCTCTAAATACTGAAATAATTTCAAACTTAAAGACATATAAAATAAAGAAACCCAAAACAGCAGGGCTTTGGAAGCATTATAATTTATGAAACATGTCAATTATGTCCAAGAAACTCAGTAACACCCTACTTAGTTACCCAGGGTACATATTACTTTGGTTGCCTTCTTGGCTCACCATTCATACATCTTGAAATCAGAGAGTAAGAATAAAACATTTTTGTGGGAATAAAACTAAAATCACCAGCTAAGGTGATGTTTCTGGATAATTCATAGCTCTATTATTTTCCTTAACTCTTGTTGGTTTATTCAATTTCTGTCTGCTTTATTGTTGCATTATTTTATTCTGAAATGCAATTGAATTTACCATTATAGTTCTTATACAAAAGGATTCCACTTGTTCTTTTAAATGAATTGTTCATTCCTTTAATTATGATAATTAGGGTTATTTGAATTTTCACAAATGAGAATGAGACTGCATTGACTTAATTATAGGATGAACTACCCCAAACTAGTGACAGTAAAACTCTTGGAAGTTAGTAGTACAGACTGAAAACAATGAAAGCCTAAAAGCCATGTTCATCCATTAAACCATGAATTCTTGTTGAACAAAATGTTTTTTAGTTCATCTGGCTTATAGCTGAGAATTTTTAACCCTGTATTTCTAATTATAAGGTGTTCAATAATTGGTAGTTGCTGACTACTGCTTTAACTGTTTATTATTTTCATTTTGAATGGAAATCTACAATTGCATGATTGTAGTTCAAAACACTGCCAAGTTTTAACTTCCTACACTTGTGTTCTTGATAAATGCTTGTCTGAATCATGGACCATCTCCAAAGGTTACCATAGAAACCTGATAAAGAAAGGGAGAACAAGTGCAAGAGGACAGACATGCAGAAAGAAGACTTACAGGAGAAAGAACTATAATTTTTCATCTATGGCCATGAAAGGAAAGAAAATGATGAAATTTAACTGATTTTGTTAATCCAGATCATTTTTTTTGTTTTAAACCCCTGACATTTAGCAGGTGCTTATTGAGCATCAATACAATTTTAAAAACAGTTCACAGCCTGTGTCTCCTTTACAGCTCATAATGACTCTGTAGAATAAGTAGAATTTTCATTTAATTGTCAGAAGATGACAGGCTGAGGAGGCAGACGGCTTTGACTTTTACCTCTGCTTTTTCTTCCTTGGGCATGTGGACATCATTAATGTTTCCATAAACAACATCATAATGGCTAACATTGCTGCCTCTGCTCCTTTTTGGATGTTTCCTTGAAGGCCTCAGACACTGGGGGTGAATTTATAGAAGAAGGAGCAACAGGGCGTGGCCCAAGAGTTGTGGAGAAACAGCAGAGCCAATGCAGAGAGACAGACTGGCCCTTCTGCTCTGACGAAGATTGGGTAAGCAGAGAGTATGGTGAGCAGGGTTCCTTCCTTGTGGGACAAATAGCTACAGGCTCACTAAGTGAGTTCTGGAAACCTTTCCCCATCAGAGATAATGTAAGGGTAACCTAGCTCCTTACATGCCAAATTAGAGAGAGAAAATAGAAAGAAAATTAGTCCTAAAGCATTATCTAGTTATCTCTAGTGGGATAAACAAACTGGATGCCTGAATAGTGGGACTTGAAAATTCCCAGATCCTTGAGCAAGACTAAGTGGACCTTCATTCTGGAATTTCTCTATGGCCTCTTTACTAGTCCTTCGAGCTACTTTTAAGTTAGTGGATACTTGGAAGAGCTGGGGAGGGGAAGCTTCAGGTAATGTTTTAACAAAACTTACTAGTAGCTAAGAGAGAGACCTTTCATATAATCCCCTGTCCTTCATTTTCAGAACCACAAATGCCCTTCTGGCTGCAGGATGCAAGGGCTGATTGATGAAGTCAATCGAGATTTTATCAACAGAATAAACAAGCTTAAAAACTCACTATTTGATTTTCAAAAGAACAACAAGGATTCTAATTCGCTGACCAGGAATATTATGGAGTATTTGAGAGGAGACTTCGCCAATGCCAACAGTGAGTAGTACATATTTGGTTCTCAGACTTTCTAGCAAAAACAAGAACAAAAATCCCCAATGATAACATTTTCCTTCAGCTACTGTGATTTCCATTCCAAAGTACTCAGCATGGAAGCCACTTAAATTGAAGGTGGTGTACATCATTTCCACAATCAGAGAAGTTAGCTTAGATTTTTAACTTCCCATATATTGAAAGTAAGGAGAGGTAGACCATTCAAGTAGATACTCTGCTTGTGGCCTACAGACGAGGAAAGGAGTCTCAGAGGTCAAGGGACTTCTCAAAGTCACAAGGTAAACATCTGCTCCAGATTCTGCTGAGCCAATTATATACTAAGATTTGAAACACAGGACCATGCTCAGTCTTCCCCTGGGACTTACCAGGGCTAGGAAGTACTGTGGTCACTCTAAGCACGGAGAGCAAGTCCATGGGAGTCCCAGTTCTTGTGGCCTTGTTTGCCTCCTTCTGTCTTTATGAAACACAGAAAAATGTAATATCAACGGTGCAGCACTAGCTGGCAGGTGACTGATCCTGGTAATGCCCAAAATGTTTAGAAATGATTTCAAAGTTCCAGGTGGAATGAAAATCTCAACAGAAATATCTAATAATAGATTCAAGTCCCTTGAATGAAGTTTCAATCAAATCAAACTCACTACTTACAGAACCTCAGTTTTAAAACTCCAAAGTATTTTCTTCCGGATTTCTAGTCACGAGTGGGACAGTTTGACTAATACCCACGGATGGCTTTTGTATGGAACAACCCAATTAAGCCTGAAACTTGCAGATTGCACATCCAGAGAACAGACTATAAAGAAGTAAAGTGTGGAAATATTTATAAGCAATTTCCTTTGGTGGGGAGGAGGTTAAGCAAATCAGTCTGCAGCCAGTTGAATACACTGAATTTTCTGTTTCAGACTTTGATAACACATATGGCCAAGTGTCAGAAGAGCTGAGACGCAGAATTGAGGTCCTGAAGCGAAAAGTTGTAGAAAAAGCACAACAAATTCAAGTTCTGCAGAACAATGTCAGGACTCAGCTGATAGACATGAAGCGCCTGGAGGTAGGCATGAGACCCTGGCACCAACCACTTTGTCTTTGACTAAGAAAGAAAAGGAAGACACTAGTCTTCTGAGTGTCAACTAAGTTCATTATCACCCAAAATAAAAGTGTCTCCCGCCACAGAGGAGAAGACAGAAGTACAGAGATGTGAAGGAAATTCTTGAAGGGAAAACAGTATATTTCAGAAGAACACTCTCTCCAGTCTGCCCACCACATGCTGACACCTTGGCTTCCACATCTTGGAGGCTCTTTACTGAGAGCTTCCATTCACAGAGATTTGTGTCTTTCTTTTTCCCCATTCAAATTCTAAAATGGATCCAAATAACTCCCACTGCATAACCTCCCTGGCCCTACACAGCTGCCAGTGAGGATACCATGATAAGTGAAAGACAAAGTGTAGGACTGATTTTTCTAGTAGTCAAAGAAGTGAAACCCATTTCCAAAATGTAAACCAATTACCAGATACTCAGCTATCTCAATAGGCATAATTCATTTCTCTTTCTTCCTCTCTTTAGGTGGACATTGATATCAAGATCCGCTCTTGCAAAGGGTCCTGCAGCAGGGGTGTAGCCCGTGAGATAGATCTAAGGGACTATGAAGGTCAGCAAAAGCAGCTTGAACAGGTCATTGCTAAAGACTTGCTTCCTTCAAAAGACAGGCAGTACTTGCCAGCAATAAAAATGTCTCCAGTTCCTGACTTGATTCCCGGAAGTTTCAAGAGCCAACTTCAGGAGGCCCCTCCAGAGTGGAAGGCATTAACAGAAATGCGGCAGATGAGAATGGAGCTGGAGGGGCACGTGAAGGGTGGGGATTCACGCGGTCATCCTCGAGGTGATTCTCCAACACATAGACCAGGGGCAGAGGCCGAAAACCCAACCAACTCTGGACCTGGTGGATCTGGGTATTGGCGTCCTGGGAGCTCCAGACCTGAAAGTGATGGAAATCTGAACGCCGAGGACAGGGAGTTTGAGGGAAGCTCTAGACCTTCAAGTTATAGGCCAAGTAGCTCAGGCTCTGGGAGCGCCATGCCTAGCAACCCTGACTGGGGTGAGTTTTCAGAGTTCACAGGAAGTAGCAGCCCAGCAATAAAGAAAGAGTACCACACTGGTAAAGTGACCACCTCTAAAGGAGATAAAGAGCTCATGATTGGAAACGAGAAAGTCACCTCCACCAGCACAAGCACCACACGTCGTTCATGCTCTAAAACCATTACCAAGACTGTGACAGGTCCTGATGGTCGCCGAGAAGTGGTCAAGGAAGTGGTCACCTCGGATGATGGCTCTGATTGTGGTGGTTCCGTTGACTTAGGCATGACCCACGGTTTTGGTGGCAGATTTGATGAGTTTGCCCAAAGGTTCCCCGACCAAGCTGCCTTTTTTGACAGTCACTTCGATTCACTCTCCTCTAACTTCAAAGAACTTGGCAGTAAGACCCATGCGGTAGGCTCTGATTCTGGCATCTTCACAGACTTAGAAGACCCGAGGACCCATGTACCTGATTATTCTTCCAGTAGTAAAACCTCCACTGTAAGAAAACAAGTCACCAAGAGCTACAAAATGGCAGACGAGGCAGGAAGTGAAGCCCACCATGAAGGAGAGACTAAGACCACCAAGAGGGCCCGTGCCAAATCGCGTCCATCAAGAGGTATCCACACTTAACTTTCGGGAAGTTCTGACACCCTAGATTAAGTTAACCATTTCTGCAACGTGCTCATCAGACACGCTGCACCTCTTTCCTAACCTTCTACAGTACCTTGTTGAAATCATACTTGGTTTTTTTGATCAGTTTTTCATGCTAGACTGTACCTTCCATGGGGGCAGGGACTTTGTGGTGTGTCTATCTCTGTAATACCCAAATGCCTAACAGTGCAGTCATTTCTCAATAAACATATTTTAAATAAATGAACAAATTCTTCTGAAACTCAATTCTGAGTCTGTTTAACCGAATTCATTCCAATGTGTGCTGTTGTGACATTCAACTCACTAACCATAAATTTCATCTTATGTCTCAGTTGACATTTTAAATCAGGTTAAAAATTTGTTCTCTGAGTATTGATTGATAGACACTTAGCTACCTTTGATGACCATTTGCTATTAGTATGTGCAAGCAATACTTCAAATCCTTAGAAGAAACTTTGCACTTTGAACACATAAGTATCTTTACATGCTTAAAATTGCATCTCAATGTATGTGCAACGTTTTTCCCATGGGAGGAGGGAGGGAAGGAAGGAAGGAGGGAGAGAGGGAGAGAGGAAGGAGGGAGAGAGGGAGAAAGGAAGGGAGGGAGGGAGGGATGGAGGGAGAGAGGAAGGGAGGGAGTGCAAACAAGCAGGCAGGCAGGCAGTATCTATCTTTAATCTGGGGCAATGCCTTTCTTTGTAAAGTAAAATGAGAGTAATTTCGTCCAACCAGCTTAATTTTTTTTTTAGACTGTGATGATGTCCTCCAAACACATCCTTCAGGTGCCCAAAGTGGCATTTTCAGTATCAAGCTACCTGGATCCAGTAAGATTTTTTCTGTTTATTGCGATCAAGAGACCAGTTTGGGAGGATGGCTTTTGATCCAGCAGAGAATGGATGGATCACTGAATTTTAACCGGACCTGGCAAGACTACAAGAGAGGTTTTGGCAGCCTGAATGACAAGGGCGAAGGGGAATTCTGGCTAGGCAATGACTACCTACACTTACTCACTCTGAGGGCCTCTGTCCTCAGGGTGGAATTAGAGGACTGGGCTGGAAAACAGGCTTATGCAGAGTACCACTTCCAGGTAGGCTCTGAGGCTGAGGGCTATGCTCTTCAGGTCTCCTCCTACCAGGGCACAGCTGGAAATGCTCTGATGGAAGGTTCTGAGGAGGAGGGAGCAGAATACACCTCACACAGCAACATGCAGTTCAGTACCTTTGACAGGGATGCGGACCAATGGGAAGAGAACTGTGCGGAGGTCTATGGGGGAGGCTGGTGGTACAACAGCTGCCAGGCTGCCAATCTCAATGGCATTTACTACCCTGGGGGCACCTATGACCCCAGGAACAACAGCCCCTATGAGATAGAGAATGGGGTGGTCTGGATTCCCTTCAGGGGAGCAGATTATTCCCTCAAGGCTGTTCGGATGAAAATCAGACCACTGGTGGAACAGTAGCTGAAGAAGTGGGGAGTTGGGACTCTGTTTTCTTTATTTGATTAACAAAGAAGAAAGAAAATAAGGAAGATGGAGTCAAGAATCTTGTCAACTTCTTACAAATTCCCAGGTGCTATTTTATTTTTCTTTGTACTGTAGCTAAGTGTAACTGAGATGTATTAGTGCTTTGGATAATAAAATTATACATTTTTTTCACCTTTAAATACCTCTATGCGTTTCAAAGCAAGGAGATGCCAGGGAATAGTCATTACACCAGGAAGAGGGAGCCAGACTGGGGCTCTTCTTGACCATGATGAAGGGTGCTGATGTAGGCTCCCCAGTCAGAGGCCCATCACAAGTGGAGACGATAGTTCACACATTAGATTTTGTGGGCTTTAAGCTGACCTTTGAGCTCTGACTCAATAGTCTCCTATGCTTGCAGGTCTCAGCTCTCCATCCACATTGTGTTTTGAAACTGGGTCTCTCACTGACCCAGGAGTTTGCCAGTTTCTCTAGACTGGCTGGTCTGTGAGCACCACAGACCTGACTGATGGGGTTACCAGGGTGTGCTGCTGTTCCTAGCTTTTTGTGTGATTGTTGGGGATTTGCATTTGCTCAGGTCTTTACTGACTGAGCCAATGCCCACATCCATCAGTTTTTGTTGTTGCTTGTGTTTTGTTTTCCCACTGTGGTGACTAGTGAAGCTGGCAAAGAAAGAGACCTTAAGCTGCCCTCCCCACCACCGTCCCCCCCCCCACCTCCACAGCAACAGTGGCTGCCTGCCTCTCAGATTATTCTTCGTGTTAAATGCTATTCTTGCTTTCCTAGCACTCTCACGGCTTCTAAACTGGAGTTGGTTGGAAGAAAATCACCAGTCCTTCCCCAGGCAAAACCCTAAAGCCCTCTCCCTACTTATAAAAGAACCGTTTTAAAAAATCAGTTCAATTTCGTTTATTATATTTGCAACTACCAACATTTTTCTGATATGATGATAACTCCAGATTCCACTCTTGGTTTGTTAACAGTAAGAAAATGATATTTTAAGCTGACCAAGAGTAAGTACTGAATTTGAAGATTGAACTGGGTATTGGGGGGGGGTCACTGTTGAATTACCTTCTAAAAACTCAGCTACTGGTTTTAGAGTGCAAGAATTACCATTCATCACTTCTTGAGGAGGGGAAACTTCATTAATCTTTCCCTGAGGAACTGATAGGGAATGGACTCGTGAAACAACATAGTGTTTGAGGAAGCAAGATATCACTAACCACAGAGGTTAGAGGTTATCCTCAAGGCCCCTTACCTGATTCCAATCTAAGCAAGAAGGACTACAAGGTTCAGCAAGTCAAGCACAGAAAGACAAAGCCACCCATTCTCATCTGGAAGAAGAAGGGGAAAAAAAAAAACTGACGGATTTCAATGTAATTCAAGTCAGCATAGTGCTAAAGTCTATGTTATAGTGGTTACTAGCAGAGGTAACCTATGCCATGGGGGTAACCTCGTGGAGCTAACCTTTGCTGTGGGGATAACAGCAGAGCTAGTCTATGCTATGTAGGTAATCTAGCGGTGCTGCAGGGCAGGGGTAGCCTTGCAGAGTCCACGTAGAGGATTCAGGAAGCAGGCATAGGTATCTTCAAAGGTGATGCCTCTCCCTTCTTGAACATTAAAACTGAAATTTTGAATACCACTGCCACTTATCCATATGCACACAGGACACACATGAAATTTGTGCAAACAAGGTGCCACTGGCAGGTCACTACAGGCCAAAAGCCATGATGCAACCTAACATACCAAGCCTGAGTAGGGTCCTGTGTCAGTCTGAGTCACCATAACTATGTGTTTGTATGTATGATTGGACGGTGAGATGAGAGTGAGTGGATGCCTATAATTTCAGCACTCAGGAGAATTAATGCAGGTTCAAAGCCAGCCTGGTCTACACACCAAATTCCATATCAGTGGGGGGAGGGTCTGTAATAAACGAAAGGCTCAAGCAGCAAAAGTGTCCCAGAGCTTTTCTCACTTGATACAGACACACATAACTTCCCTCTGAGCATTTTGAGAACAGAGAATGTATGTTTAAGTCAAAGCATTTGACTTCAAACACAAAGCTGACTAAAACATTCATGAGCTGCAAGAACACACAATCACTCTAACATATATGCAGATATCACCACCAAAGATTGCAGTGCAGGCTGATATTAAACACACATGAAGCTAATAAAGCCCCCCCCCCCCCCCCCTCTTTCTCAAAAACAACTCAGAAAAACCCAGTGTTAAAGGAATGTAAGGTTCAATGTTCTAGAAGCCTAAAGGACAGAAATGCCTGCGGGAACACTGAAAGGCCTTTCTTAAGGACACAGCTTTTGTTATTGTTGTTCTGGGTAGTGTTAGACCCCCAGAAAACTCAAGTACCCGGGGTCCCAGGCCACGTTCGCGGTCACCCCAATCACCAGGCAGATTCGAGAGCTTGCTGCAAACTGCACGAGGCTTTATTGTAATTTAACGAGCTAACCCCATGTTAGCTCGGGTCTTTCACCCACCCGCCATGGCGGATGGCTAGAAAAAGACGGCTCCTAGGGCCTCCCAAGAGATCTTATAGGGCAGCATAAGGGGAGTGTTTAGCCCTCCCAGGGTGGTTGCTATGCTCTGTGCATCATTGCTGTGCGCTTGTCCGTAAAAGGACAAGGTCATAGAAGCACGTGTTCGGCCATTATGGCTGCCAAAAGGGAAGCTGGTCCCTTCAGGTAGTTAAGAAGCCAACTAACGCAAATGGAATATGGCTTGATACTCCATCCCCAAACTGACAAGTAAAAATTCAATCATGCAAGCATCCTGTATTTTTAATCATATACTAAAACTCCTTATTGGTTCTTTAACACATAGTGAAACAGTAAAATGACTGTCTGCAGCTGAGATTTTTTTATTGTAAAAATCAATGTTAATGTGATTTTAATGTTCCTTCATCAGGCTTATGAGATGGCTCAGTAGGTAAAGGTACTTGCTACTGAATCAATCTGCTGACCTGAATCCAATCTTGGAACAAACATGGAAGGGGAGAACTGATTCACTCAGGTTGTCCTTGACTTTCATACATGCACACAGACACATGTCAGAAGCCAGCCTTGGTCCTTATTTACATAAGCCTGGCGACCCCCATGCCCAGCTAGCCGCCAGCCAGTCTAGTATCCCACCCATCAGGTTCTGGGACCTGGCCTGAGAAGCAATTAACACCTACCTATTCCTTCCCCCACTTCCTTAGGTTAGTGCTTGAAGTAAACACAGGAGATTCCAGATACCTGCCCTGGCCTGAGAGCAATTAACATTCATCCCTCCCCCCACCTCCTTTTTCTCTGCTTCCCCCTTTTTCTTTAAAAAGCCTCTTGGTTTCAATAAAGTCAGACCTTGACAAAAGAAAAACCATGCTTGGTCTCACTTCTCTTTTCCCCCCATTATTTTCAGGCTTGATCTACCTGGGACTCACGAATTACCGGAGCCCCGCGGGCTGAGGCAGACACACACTAAATACACATAATATCTTTAAAAAGAATATCCTAGAAATTGCATTAGAAATCTGAGCAAGTAAGACTGTAAAGTGCTTGCCACATAAACTTGAGGACCTGAGTTTGATTCCCAGGAACCCATGTCTATAATCCCAGCACTTCTACTATGAGGGGGCAGGTAGAGACAGGAAACTCATTCAAATCCCCCTTGTCTGGCTAGCCTAGAATATGCAGCATGGCAGAAATCAGAGGGACCCTGACTTAACAAGGGGCATGGAGAGAGTGTTCTCAGACCTCTACATACAGGCCATGGCATGCTCATGCCCTCATTTTCTCTCCTCTCTCTCCTCTCTCTCCCATACATACACATGCACACTTGCACATGTGCACATTCACAAGGACACACACACACACACACAGAGAGTGAGAGAGAGAGAGAGAGAGAGAGAGAGAGAAAGCAGAGAGAGAGAGGAGAGAGAGAGAGACAGAGAGACAGAGAGAGACAGAGAGAGACAGAGAGTACAAAAGTCTTAAAACCCAGAAAAAAAAAACTATTCCTTAAATAATCCTTGTCTGAGAAAAAAATAAGTTGTCATTCAAAAGAAAATAAAAAACTATAGTAGAGTATTGAGAAAATAAATCTAGATTAAAATACAGGGAAAGGGCCGGCATTGGTGACGCACACCTTTAATCCCAGCACTTGGGAGGCAGAGGCAGGCTGATCCCTGTGACTTCAGGGCCAGCCTGGTCTACATAGTGAGTTCTAGGACAAGCTCCAAAGCTACAGAGAAATCCTGTCTCAAAAACAAAACAAAAAGACAGGGAAAGCACAAAAGCTAAATGTCATTAAATTTCAATCTATTAACATTGTTGGGTTCTTAAATTTTGCTTCCTTCAGCTCACAGTATCCGACGTGGAGGATGAAATCCAGGGATCCTCCCCCAGAAGCTTTCCTAAGGCTTATGAAAAGACTGCCATCAACAGTACAGGGCTACCCTGCTGTGCACGCTTTCTTTAGTTCCTTAGAGTCTTAGTCTCTTGCTTTCAGATACATGGGCAGTCCCAGTGCTGCAGACCAGCTAAGAAGCCAAAGCAACAGAAGTAGCATTTAACATCTTTTCCACTCTGTGGTAAGTGAAGAACACAGCTAGGAAAATAATGTTCCTAGGGTGGGATGCAGTGGGAAGCCAGGGAGACCCAGTCCACATTGTGTTTCTATGAAAGACAAGAGAAATTGACATATAATTTGAGATTTTAATGCATATTTATAGCAAAAACATTTCAAATACCATTTCCATAAAGAAAAGTCTCAACCCTTTGAGTTTCATATTTACTGAACTTCATTTGATTAGAAACTACCTGTCAACTTGAAAATAAATCTACTTCTACCTTCTTATTCCCAAACCTGGAGACAGACAACTAGGTATCCAAATGCACACACACACACACACACACACACACACACACACACAAAGAGAGAGAGAGACAGAGACAGAGAGACAGAGAGAGACAGAGAGAGAGAAAACAAAATACAAAATCAAGTTTTGTTTTTTTGTTGTTGTTGCTGTTGGTTTTTTTTGTTTGTTTTGTTTTGTTTTTGAGACAGGGCTTCTCTGTGTAGCTTTGGAGCCTATCCTGGCACTTGCTTTGTAGACCAGGCTGGCCTTAAACTCACAGAGATCTGCCTGCCTCTGCCTCCCAAGTGATGAGATTAAAGGCATGTGCCACCACCGCCCAGCTCAAAGTCAAGTTTTGATTGCCTCATTTGTTCTAAGTTACTTTAAAGAATATATAGCAGGATAAACAGATCATTGTCTTTCTGAAGTGATTAGACAGGTGATGATATAATAATAATAATAATAATAATAATAATAATAATAATAATAGAAACAACACTCCCACCAAATCCAGGTAACCCCATTTCCTGAACACCTCCCACTATCTAGATTAGGTTGACCTGTAGGCATGTCTACAGGGGTTGTCTTTATTATATTAATTGATACGGAAAGACAGAGCCCTTTGTGGGTGTTACCATTCCCTAGATTTGGGTTCTGGGCTGCCTTAAAAAGAAGAGAGTGAGCTAACTACTAGAAACATTTGGGTTCTGGGCTGCCTTAAAAAGAAGAGAGTGAGCTAACTACTAGAAACATGCATGCATTCACTTTCCTCTGCTCTTGTCTGTGATTGTGATATGTCTGTTTTTAATTCCTGCCACCTTGGCCTCCCTGTTGAGATGGACTATAAACGCCGGTCGTTGGTGGTGCACGGGCCTTTAATCCTAGCACCCGGGAGGCAGAGGCAGGCGGATCTCTGTGAGTTCGAGGCCAGCCCGGTCTCCAGAGCGAGGGCCAGGATAGTATCCAAAGCAACACAGAGAAACCCTGTCTCAAAAAACCAAAAAAAAAAAAAAAAAAAAAACAGTAACCAGGAGACCCCAGAAGCTGCTTTTTGTCCGTGTGTTTTATTGTTCTAACATAACAACAGAAAGACACTAGGACACTTAGCATTCACTGAAACAGTTTGGGATTATGATGTTTAGTTAGTAGCCATGGTAATAATAAAAGCTCTCTGTCGGTGACAGACTTTACACAAAAAATGGTTTCTGAGATAAAATTGATTTATTCGGTTGGGGATTTTGTTTATTTGGTTTTGTTTGTTTGTTTGTTTGTTTTGTTTTGTTTTTGAAACAGAGTCTCTTTAATAATTTAATATTTAATAATAATAGAAACAAAAGCCACACTCCCACCAAATCCAGGTAACCCCATTTGGGACAGCTCTAGCTGTCCCAAAACTATGTAGGCCAGGTTGGCCGAGAACTCACAGATTCATCTGTGTCATCCTGCAGAGTTGCTGGGATTAAAGGCATGGGGTACCACACCCAGCTTGTTTTTAACTGAGTGTTTTATAAATCTCAAGCATAGAGAAATATCCATAATTAACTGAAGGCAAGAACGGGGAGGGCCTTAAGTATCACAGAAGGAAGTGTTGCGATGAGGAATTTGCACCTGGGAAAGAGAGTTGATTTAATTCCTACACGAAAACTGGGCACTGTGTCTTTCACTTCATGTGGCAAAGGCAAGTAAATCTAAAAGCATTGCCAGATTTCCTGTATAATGGCTGAGCGGAGATCTAGCTGTCCACGAGCTCATTGCTGAAGGTGGGTGATGGTGATTGCAACAGAGTACAAATATTTGCTAAGCTCACCTTTGACTCAACCACGAGGTTTCTGACCCTAAGGTTGCATGCCTACACAAGTGGTTGCAAAATTGTGTTAGGCATCTCCTTTGGAGAGATCCAGCACACGTAGCAAACAATCACTAGGTATGGGTGAAGGACGAGGGGTATTCATTAAACTGGTCCTGAAATTGCTCTTATGTCTGAGCATTTCAAAACAAAATGTTAAGGCAAGAAATAAATATAATCTGAACAACAAACTGTAACACGCTACTCTTTGAGCACATTTGCCAGAGAAGAGAAGAGACAAGGGTTATGGTAATTTTAGATGTATAGATAACCAATGGATATACTTCAAAGGAATTTAAAGTCCAATTGACAGAGTTGCATGAGCTTAACAGATAAAGAAAGTTTTACCTGATTTTGGCCTTTGGAGGCATGTTAAGAGCAAGTCTCCTCTTAAAAATAGGCAGTTGGTCCCCTATGAAGTCATGACAACTTCAAGGATGACCATGGGCTCAGCAGTGCTCCGTGGTCACAATAGCACTAGGTCAGAATGAAAAGGCCTCTAAGAAACAAACATGTCGGTAATTCCAAAATCCAGCCAGTGCTCAGAAACTCTTCAGTGTGTTTATCAAAAAGCAGAGGATCTTTATAGTAAATAAAGGTTAGTTCTTGTAAATCTCTTTTTTTTTTAAAGAAGCCTACAGATTGAGCTGGGCCTGGTGGCCCAGGCTCTGATCTCAATGTGACTTTCTAGATAGATTTGCACGTGACAGATTATGCAGGAGGCACCTACTTCTGCTCTTTGACCACTGAAAAGGGACCATCAGATCAGGTCTCTGCTTCTGTGGTTCGACTGTGGCTTTACTTTAGGCTCCAGGAACTAATTCTGCCCTCTGTATTTGTTCAGGGGATAGAGCAGAGCAAAGGTCTGAGCATCATGCGTTTCCACCTCCTTTAACTCACTGAACTTTTGTACTTTCAAAACTCTACCTCCAGGTGTGTGTGTGTTTGTGTGCCTTTGTTAGAAAAACAGCCTGTATATTATTAAAAAAAAAAAAAAGATGTCTAAGGCATTGGCAATCTTGGGGTTTATTCATTCAGTGTTTACAAAATTACAATTGGTCCATGCTGGAATCAAATGTTGAAGAAAAGCTTCTTGCGGAAATAACGCCAACAGCCCAATGGCAGGTATTCACTGCTAAAAGGTGAGCAATTTCCAAAGGCTTTCAGAAAGTTCTGAGAGTGAACAGTTGACTGGGGGATTTCAAAATCAAGAGCAATTTTTCAGATTGTGTTGGGGGAAACACACTACTGTCTGGCCAGCAAGATGGACACAGGAGTGCAGGTAGTTCCTCAAGACTCTAACTTCCGGTGTTTGAACATTTCTTTTTTTTCAGGAGTGGGATTGTTAGATCACCAAATTAATTACATTTTCATTTACTTTAGGAAGCCATGTTTCGTTCCCTTTATATTCTCACTAACAACAAGAAAGGGGTAAATTTTGATATATGAAGTTACGCTAACGAGGAAGGTTCTAGAGCTCCCCTGTAGACAGAAATGCAGTATTATGCACTTAAAGATGTCAATTGTTGGTAGACAAGGAAACAAAACACAAAGACACTAGTAAAGTTTAGGAGGTTATGGCTGCGATAACACCATGTGTGTGAGGGGCATGTGTGTGCATGCATGCATGCAGTATACAGATTTGGTTTTAGTGTAACTATGTACGAACACATGTAGGCAGGCTTTTTGTTTTGTTTTGTATACGTGTGGGAAATGTAGGTACATAATGAAAGGGGCAGGAGACAGTAATGGGAGATATTAATGATCAGTCTTGCCTCCAAGAGTGGAGGATTTGGGTACAAAGCAGTCAGACACTGAGTGGCAGGTGTGGCATAGACTGTGATGGGTAGAATCTGTGGCAATAAGGCTCCAGAACCTACAAAAAGAACAGTCTGAGGATGATGGGCAACCTGGGTCTCCTCATCCACCATTTCCTTATGAGACATGATAAGGACTTCATCTAATTGCTTGCTTAGACTCTGGCCCAAGGTCCTCTTGAGAGGCACAACAGTCATTTTTCCATGGAACAATATGCCATTTGACTCTTCAAATGTTCAACGCCAGCTCAGTAGACATCTGAGATTGGGTAAATACTTTCCTGCCCTACAAATTCAAATCCTGATAGCATGGACCACAAAATAAGAAAACATTAATTTATGACAACAGGGACTGGTTTAGGAAATAACCTGTTGGAAAGTTTTTTGGTTTTTTGTTTGTTTGTTTTCTTTTTTCTTTTTGCAAGATACCTTAAGAATAAATAGGATTTTGAAACCAGACTTATAAAACATTGGCTTTAGTATCTATAATGCTTTTCTCCAGCAGGTGTTTAGTCTGAAAAGCTTCTTAGTCAGCTGGAGTCAATTGACTCTATTTATTACCATCCTTTTCTCTAGTTCTCTGCAGGAAAGGTAAATGAAGACTAGAAATGAGGGCTGGAGAGATGCTCCACAGTGAAGACCTGACTCCAGATCCTACATCAGGAGGCTCACAGCCACTGTAACCCCAGATCTGGATGAATCTGACCCCTCTGGCTCCTACAGGCCCGTGTACTTATGGTGCACATATATCCACATGCATTCACATAATTAGAAATAATAAATACAAAACTTTAAAATAAAAAGAACACAGAAATCCATGTGCTGTTTTCAATGTCTTTATCCTATACCTTTCCCAAAAAGACACAACCATTGTTTTGAGTTTTAGTGGATATAATATATCAAAGAAAATTCCAATAACATGATGTAAAAAAAAAAAGTCACACATAGAAGAATAAAAGTCTACATTTGGAGGTCTATTGCTGTGGGAAGAAGGGCCTGATCTTCATAGACATCTTCCTCATTGAGTACCATGATCCCTTCCAGTTCATCCACACCACACCATCATCTGTGCCGTGCTTGGACATGTCCCAGCTGTAAAGACCACCCCAGTAGTATCTGCCATTGGGATTGGCTGCATGGCATCTGTTATACCACCATCCACCACCATCTTCTCTTGAGCACTGCTTTTTGGGATCTAAAGCTAACCTGAAAGGAGATGAGTCTGAGTTATGATACACACAAGGACCACTGTCAATTCAGTTCTTTGGAGCGAACCCACATGAAAGTACTGTGCTCAGCTATATATGGTTCTCTTTCCCTTGAGTTCTGTATGTAAAGCTCAAGCACAGTAAAGGTCTTCTCTGTCCCCTAGGAAGAAAGGGAAACAGCTGGGCCTGTCTAGTCTAATCATGAAGGGATGGAATTGTTCTATTCTGAAATGACTTACCTGATACTGTAGTATAAGAGACCCTGAGATATGAAATGATAGTTTCTGTGGATGCATTAGTGAATAAGAACACGGATGTGTATATACATGCACAAAACTCAGAGTTGTAATCTAGTTGCTGTTCTATCTTTGAGTGGCTGTCTGGCTTGGGGTAAATTTATATCTCTAAATTTGATCTGAAAGATGATACAGACGATGCCTGCCTTAGAGTTTGGATGTTTTCAACTGATATGTAGGGAGTTCAGGACAGGGGCTGCCTGATACACACTTTAAGTGACCAAGTACAGACAGTTGTTTATAATGTTCAGTACATTCATGATGCTGAGTAATGGTATTATTGGGGACTTTTTTGTTGTTGTTGTCATTTCAAGACAGGATTTTTCTGTGTAGCTTTGAAGCCTATCCTGGCACTTGCTCTGGAGACCAGGCTGGCCTCGAACTCACAGAGATCCGCCTGCCTCTGCCCCCCACCCCCACCCCGGGTGCTGGGATTAAAGGCGTGTGCCACCAACGCCCAGCTATTGGGGACTTTTAAGATAGGAGCAGAGACTGCAGTGCTTACCAGCCATCGTTGTCCCTGTCGTATGTGCTGAAGAACATGCCATTGTGGATGGTCATGGTTCTGTTTTCCCCCATCAGCTGAGAGGCTCCGTCCATGAGGGCATTGCCAGCAGTCCCTTTGTACTTGTCCACTGAGACTTGATACTTGTTAGCCTCGTTCTGCACTGTGAACCCTCCATAATGTGCCTTCACTTTGTCTCCTTTCCAGTCCTCCATTTCAATCAGAAGTTCTGTGGGTCCTATCCTGGTAAGCTGGCTAATCTTATCATTCCCAAGCCAATATTCACCTGGAGAAAACGAATGTAAAATATCAGCAAAAAATGAAACCTCCACCAACCAAGCACTACTCTTCTGCCATATCTTTAGCTCCCACATTTAATTTTTTATATTTATTTATTATGTGTGTGTATGCATGTGTGTATGCATGTGTATGCATAGTTAAATTCTTATTAGCATACTAAAAATCTAAAAACAGACCCCTATCCTGGATATTTTTAATGGGAGAAAAACTCACTAAACTAAAAGGATTTTATTTTGCACTCTAAGTCTTTACCTGGCAAGCCACAGTACTTCTTCCCATCATCATTGGTTGCAATATTACCAAATCCTTGTTTGTATGGGTCCCACTGCCTGCCAAAGTCAACACTGCCATCCTGACGGTTCTGTATGACTGTCCATCCTTTAGTTGACAAAAAACAAAATCAGTCTAAGGTAACCAGTAATAACATCACTCTGAAAGGAAAGTCTGAACACATTGCCCATTTGTTTTATTTTATACTTGCTTATGTTTGATTCTCCGAGTAGCTATAATAAGGAAATATGCATGAGGAGAGAACTCATAAACTATTTAGAAATGTCAAGCACTGCATGTCACCTTAATGCATGCATCAAGGATCTTTTAAAGTGTTTCAAATACCAGATTGGATTTCAAATCAAGTGGCTCCTTGCCAGTGTGTTGTAGCAGAGCCTTGTTCCCCAGCATCCAGGATAGTTACAGAATATCAGGTCAGTCACTGAGGAGTGCTTACCTCCATTTTCTGTTTCCATGTCACAGTAGACTCTGTATGGCTTGATGGAGGTGTCAGGCTGAATGAGATACATTTCAGATGTCTCCCCTCCTTTCCTAATGATCTCCTCACATTCTGCAAGAATGCAATGCTGCATTAGGTTCAGGAACAGTAACAGCCTCCAGCTACTTACTCTTGAATAAAACTGTACTGGGTACCAAGGGCCACTTTATCACAAACACTTGAGAATAATGTTCTATGGTTGGACCTTCTTCTCATGAAAATCAAACTAAATTTTGAAGAATTCTGTCAAGTGAATTATAAAGCTCCCTTCCATCCCTACAAATAGATCACACAGGATTAGGAAACACCTCCATCTTTCCATGGACCTGTCATCTGTGTATATCACATGCATACACACAGTAGAGACCCCTGGAACCTCCACCCCCATTACAGTGGATGCTACTCAGCAGAACTGGGAAGAGCTGTCAGTCAAGGCTGAATACCACAAGCAAAGGATACAACCAAAATATTCTAGATTATCATTATATTCGGTTGGGTGAAAGCTACTCTGTTTACTCTCTAGTCCTTGTGTTCAGAGAATGTTAGATCTTCTGGAACTCTGTGGCATTTATTTACTGACTGGTTACCTTTGCCAGACACCACGGGGATATTGCAGCTGACAGTGCATGGGGTACGGCAGTATTCCATCTGAGCTGAGATGTCAGATTCTAGTTTTTGTATTTTGCTTCTCAGGTTCTCCAGGATGGAGCGGAGCACACGAAGATTAAGGGGGATATTATCATTCACGGTCTCATCAATATATAATCTCTGGTCTTCCAGAATGGAGGAATATTCATTTATGACATTTTCATTATCTGGAAAACCAAAATGATGTAGGAATGGTCAGAATTTTTTTACTACAAGAGTATATCCAACTATATAAATATGATTTTGGTTTTCTGAGAATAAATGAATAGACTTTGAGGCATTATCAAGCAATCAAGACTGTTGAATTAAGAGACATTGCTTGTTTCATGGCATATATAAATTGGCATACAGCCCTACTGCCATTCCAGTGATTTGCCCTGGATACAAACTAAAGATCATATTTGGTAACAAATACAACAAGTTGTGCCTTTTTTTGGTCAGCAGTATTTGAAAGCTCCATCTCATCAGCTAATATTATAGAGCAGAGGCACTTGGCACTTGCACAACCCATCTACAGAGCCTTGGGATTTGCAAGAACACTTCAGGATTCTTTGATTCCTAAATGTCTATACTTGGGTGAGCTTCTCTGAAAAGCCTATGCCATGCTATGCCCCAACTTGCTCCTATCCACCAGGTCCTTAGCCCTCAACGTTCATATGCCAGATGTCACTACTTGCAGGTCAGTTATATCACACTGACCATTTTCATATTCAACATCTCAAGTGTCAAACTTACAAACACTAAGTTTTTATTCCATGCATATTACCTTCTGAGTCACAAGACAAAGTCTAATAGAAACCTAGAAACCATAGTGACATTTCTCATAGAAAGTCATTGCAGTGAAAAGCAGCACCAAGATTAATACTTGAGGAATGCTTGTCTGGAAAACTGCAGATGAAAGTGCCTGAGGGAGGACCCAGGGTAAGGAAGGACAGAAAGAAATGAGTACAAGTTCTGGTTGACTTCGGAAGTTTAACTGTACACAAGTGTATATCCATAGTTAATGGTTTCAATATTATAAATGAGTCAGGTAGAAGCCCCCAGGATGGCTACCTTTAGCTTGTGCCTGCTTCTTTTTCCACATGTCTTTTAGGAGAGTCAGATACTGGAAGGTGGTGGAAGAGGTCTCAGAAACCGACTGTATGTTGCCATTTAACTCAGCAACACTGGCCTTGATTGGCTTTTCCTGGTTTATCAAAGTCTGTTGCAACTGACACCCTGTAGGACACAACACTCCCTGTAAATGAAGGAAATAGCTGGCATTAGAGTATGAATATTTGTTTAAAATGTACATTAGTGAAACTTTGGTGATCTCACAAGTCAATTAAAAAACTTGGTATTTCATTTTCCTTATGGAAGACCAGAAACCTAAGAATTGTCAGAATACTCTTATAAAGGATAGAAATAGTCCTTACCACTAGAAAAAAATGTAATCAGGCTATGAAACTTTTACCCAGCCTAATGAAGAAAGTAGACTAAGTACAAGAGAAAAGGCAATGTCCAAATACCCTAGTTTGTTATCTTATGTCCAGATCCAAGAGTCCAATGAAGGAAGGGTGAGGGTTTTTTGTTTTTTTTTTTTCCAGACAGGGTTTCTCTGTGTAGCTTTGGAGCCTATCCTGGCAGTCACTCTGGAGACCAGGCTGGCCTCGAACTCACAGAGATCCACCTGCTTCTGCCTCCCGAGTGCTGGGATTAAAGGCGTGCGCCACCAACGCCCGGCAAGGAAGGGTGAGTTTTTTAAAAAAGGACTCAATCAAGTTCATATTTTGAATTTTCACTCTTAAATAAACAAAATAGCAATGATAGAGATGTTAATTCGTGAAATATTAAGCTTTCTCTGTACAGGAGACGCACCCTGCAAAAAACACTAATGGCCCTACCAGGTTTTGGTCGGCATGAAGACAGCCTCCTGCATCAGGGGCTTTTATTTCCATTTTCTTCTGACTGGCAGCAACTTTGGCTGGACGGGCTCGATATCCACCTCCACTGATAGGAGGGGGGGCAGGTCTCAGGCTAGGAGCCGCTTCCTTTCTCCTGTCAATCGGTCGATGACCACGGACAAGGACGCCGTCCTACAGGAACCGGACAGGAACACACGAATGTTAGAGACGCTGTGAGAAGTTAACTATCCCACCCTCTGGTTCTGTAACTGAGGTAGTATAAGCCTGATGATTTGCTACAGGCCTCTCCACTGGCTGGATCAAATGATTTGTGTCTCCTCAAGTGGAGGACCAACAACACACAAAACTACTGCAAAAAGCTAAGGCAGTTTTATAAGGGGGTGATTGAGTGGGGGCTAACACAAAGCTACCCCAGATTGTGAAATCTAAACTTTGAAACACACAGAACTGTCAGGAATCTAGATGATCAACAGGAATGAATATTCTCAACCCACTTGGGTTAGTAAATTCCTACAATTGTTATGAATCATTTCCCCAACTTTCAACTTTTACAAACTGATGATCAGGCTGAGTCTAATACGAACATATTTGAGACAAGATGATCTATTTAAAGAAAACTTACTACTAAGACAATAACAACTCTAACACATTACAGAGAATTAAGATAGTGTGGGATAAGGTACTGCTTGGGTTCAAGTCTTGACCTGCACTTTGAACAAGTTACTTTACTCAAGACTTAGTTTTCTCATTCATAAAATAAGGATCAACCACAGCTTGTATCTGCCTTATAAGATTATTATGAAGATGAAATCTGTTTACCCGTGACACCCTAGGAACTATATTTGGCTCATTTTAATTCACATTGTTATTTTCAGTGTGACTTCTCCACTGCTAATTCCTCTTCTAGTCTCAGTTTTCAACAAAATTATGTTAAGCTGTTCTTTTGAAACTCCCCACATAATTTATCAAGCATGATGTTGTTCCCATACTTAATTTCTAGAGTTTATAGACTGCATTAAATATTATTTGCTACTTAAAACTCTTTAAGAAGACACTTAAGTGGGAGACATGCAATCAGATACAAAGGTTTTGGCTTGGATTGAACTTGTTTATCATTTTTCATCAGCAGCAGTTTTACTCTGACGGCTGTATTTGCAGATGAAGAAACCACAAAACCTGGAGCAATAGCTGAGCTCTCTTGCAGTCATACACATCTAAGTCATCACACGAACTTCGTCTGAAAATTTACTGTCATTTATTCATTAAATCATTATATTATTTTACATTTAGTGGGGTGGTGCAAGGATTGAAACCCTGCTAGTTTGACTTCAGATTCACTGGCTTAATTACTGATTAAATCTCTGTCTCTGTGTGTATGTACCTCTCCCTTCCTCCTTTCCTCCTCCCTTTCTGTATGTATATATACTGCTATATATTTTTAATGGGTGAACACTGAGGATGATATACATATTTCATATTAAAGACAGGGTTCTAATCAGAGCTTGTCTGCTCTAACACAAATTTAATGAAATGTGTTTTTGTTCACTGCAAATACCATTATGGGAAAAAAAAAAAACTACTGACTTGTTTTCTTGTTTTAGAATGTTGTACACAGGTGACATTGATTGTCTGGCTTCACTAGAGAAAATAAACGACAAATACTGAAAGAACCAATAGGGACACGGGTTAGGAAAGAGCACTTACAGAAATAACTAAAACCAGGAAATCCACTTTGGAGCTTAAAAAAGGATTAATTAATAATAATCTGAAAGCACTTTTGAAAATGTACCCAAACACATCCTTTATGTTTTTCTTACCTAACCCAGACAATTTTTTATTTGTATGATCAAACAATCTGAATGCTTACATGCCCCTTAATCCAAATGATCCACAGTGAACCGATCTCACTGCAGTATTAATGTGTATTCCAATTTCTATTATAAATAATATACTACAAAGTAAATTTCATCATAATACATTTAGTAATACAATTTAAACTATTTTCTTAAATACACTTCTATGTGTATTTTTATGACATCAAGGTAATACTAAGTTGGTAAAATTAATTCTTGGACTGGGTATGGTGGATCAAGGCTTTAATGCAATTAAGAAGCTGAGTCAAGCCGGGAGGTGGTGGCACACTCCTTTAATCCCAGCACTCCGGAGGTAGAGGCAGGTGGAACTCTGTGAGTTTGAGGCCAGCCTGGTCTCCAGAGCGAGTGCCAGGATAGGCTCCAAAGCTACACAGAAAAACCCTGTCTCAAAAAACAAAAATAAAAACACAAAACAAAACAAAATGCTGAGTCTAGCCAGGTATATGACACGTTTTATCCCAGCCCTAGAGAGTCAGAGGCAGGCAGATCACTATGAGTTCGTGAGGCCAGCCTGATTTTACATAGAGAGTTTCAGGACAGTCAGAACTACAAGTGAGAGCCTGTCTCAAACACACAAGCTGAGGCAGCAGGACTGCCACAAGTTTGAGGCCATGTCTCAAAAAAAAAAAAAAAAAGAAAGAAAAGAAAAGAAGAAAAGAAGAAGAAGAAGAAGAAGAAGAAGAAGAAGAAGAAGAAGAAGAAGAAGAAGGAAGAAGAAACAAAAGAAGAAGAGAAAAAGAAAGATAACAAGGGGAAAAACACTTCTATCAGTAAGAAAGTTATGCTATATATTAATAATGACAACAAAAATTACCTCTATCATAGTTTTTAATCTGAAAAAACCCAAAACTTGATTTCCTGATTTTAAAACTATAATTCTTACCCATATTCAATAATTTTGGGAGTTATATATTATCTTATCCAGCAAGAAGCAAACAATCTACCATTTTTTCTTTCAAAAGACTAATCTTTCACCATCATAGACCTATAAATTTAAAATATTATCATTATAACTGTAATAATGTATTGCAAGGACTAAGTAAATACATATAATTAAAACAAGACAGAAAAACACATTTCACATTAATTAAGCCACTTTCACCCTGGAAAAATAAAGGTGATTAAACCATTAATACATTACTTGTTTTTCCTATGAAATATGTTGAAAGTCAGAGAGGTCCCTGGAATTAATGACACAGTGTGTAAGCACAACCAAGTCTACCTTAATTTAAATAACTATTTACCAAAATTATGATGCCATTATTTTATATTAATAATACTAGTAGCAATATAATAATATCTGTTAAAAAATATCACCGAATCATCGTAGTCATCATCAGCAGCTTGAGTTTGAACTGAGAAAACACACAGCAGCAGCAGCCATAGATGCCTCATGGTTTTGGAATTTTTAGAAATCCCAAACAGTCAGTCTTTCTTTGCCTGCAGACTTAGCTGGAAGACTGTCGATCTTATATATAATGGGTCCTCTCCCAGGCATGACTTTAGAAATGGTTACCTCCTGTTAGTTAATATTTGACCTTTTGGGTTACTTGTTGGCTGAACTGATTTATCATTTGAGCAACATCTTCCCAGCAGCCTTGTTTACCCGTCAGACGCCTAATGTGGACACAAGGAGGTTCTTCAATTCATTGGATCAGGGGAAATGATGGGAAATGGGGGCATTCTGAAAAGAGCCCCACATCGGAGGTCTCGTAAATTGTGATTAGTACAGGAGTTCACCAAGGATGTGCAAGAAAAAAGTTTAATGCAGACAAAAAAGTTTAATGAGCCCCTACTCAAAAGGGGCTCAGGAAAAATATAACATCAAAAAGAAATCCATGCTCATGCCTTTGGGCAGTTGCACAGTCACATTTGAAAGAAACCACTGAAGTCAAGAGTTAGTATCATCATGTGCCTGTCCTTTCTTCTGGATGTTAATCAGAATTATAAAACAACCATTGTCTATTTGGTAATACACAAACATCAGAAGAAAACTAAAAAGCCCTGGTTTCTCTTCTATTTCTGCCCTGACCAGCTTTTGTATTTTGCCCTTTTTTTATGGCTAAATTTTTAAATCAATTCTAAATACTATTATCAGATTATAGATTTCCATATTAAAATTATCATTATAGTAATTGAATACAAATTAACATTCCATGAATTATACTATGTATCTTATTTTGTGTTATATTTACATGATATGGCATCATTTTAACATGTGTAAAGTCTTCATATGTCTCTTTCAGTTAGTAAGGCCATACAGTAAAAGTGGCCTGTTTTCATTTGTCATTTCTCATAAGCCTCCACTTCTGTGTTACTTGCTCATTTGTTTGCAGTAGTAAGAATCAAGAACTAGTCCACCTACCTAAATCACATGAAATCCAAAGTCAACAAGTCATGTTTCCAGCTAGTGCATTGCTCAAAAGTATTTCTGGGTTTTGTACGGAAAGTGAAACATTCTCATAAACTTTACAAAACAGTTTTATAAGAAAGATAGTAAACGATCTGAATTTGGATCATGAGAGTGTTTGAAATGAAGTTTTGAAACAGAGACACTGAATTTCATCTCTTGACAATACGGTATGTCAAATTCTTTTAACTTAGGCTGTAGAAACAAAGTCTCAGTTTAGATAAGGGAAAACAGTGATTCTTTCCCAATTTGTGCTTCATTTATCAGGATGAGTAAGCATTCTTTCAGATTCTTTTTATCTTAGTTTTTCTTTAAAATGTACAATCTAACAGAAAAATCAAGTTTGGATATGTGTTTTAATCAAAAAGAGATGTGAGAATATATCTTCAAATTATAACCAGTAGGAAACACATCTTAATGCTTAATGATCGGAACAGGATTTCAGCACTATGACATTTATATGTTTGCTGACTTTAAAAGAAATATCTTGAAAAAGGTTAATTATGTTTTGAGATGTATGGTATGACTATATTTCCAATCTCTGACCGGTCTTCTCCTAGTGATAGTGCTAATTGTTGTGTAAGTCTGTGCATTTTTAAGTGTCTCTACATATATGTAAGGTAGATCTTGTTCAACATGAAAGTGGAAGTTCCTTCAACCATCTCTCCTTGCTGCTTAGACTGGCATTCTGAGATTTAACCATCATTCTCCACACCATGCCTGTAAGCCTTCAAAAAGACAGGTAGTGAGAAGCAAGGCAGGAAGAGAGGGCATTCAAATCATTAATCACAGAAGAAACATGTGAACTGGCCTTCGTAGATACATGCCTAGCTGATGTTCCTTTGTCATATTTAATTCTTAAAACCACTACCTTCTGCAGGTGATGGAATTGAGGCTCAGAGGTCAAGTCAACTACCTACAGGCACAGAGGTGGCAGGTGATGGTACCAAACTCAATCAAGTCTATCAAGTCAGTCTAACTCAGCAGACTTTTTTTTTTCACTAAACCACACTGCCCAATGGAATACAAGTGCAAACTATAGCGTTTTACCTGTACCTTATGTTTGCCATTGTTGCTGTTTGGGACCACCTCATCTACGGTTAGCATAGTGTCTCTGATTGGCATACTCATTCTTACTTCTTACTTTCATTCATATTTTCAGGCTTTTCAGCCTGGTATATAATATGGGCATGGATGTTCATGCCCATGTGACAGATGTAGATGATACCTTATAACATTTTTTTCTCTAGAGTTATTGTAGACAGGTAAACAGCACTCCAACTTGTCTAATAGCCCCAAGCAGACGATTCCATTTCAAGGAGAAGAAACATACAGAAATAGTTAAGTATTTTTGCACTCTGCTGCCATTGGTGGACAGGGAAGGGAGTGCTGCTTGCTAAGCCAATAATGCTGTGTTTTTCATATTAATTGATCTCGTTATGTAAACCAAGGGCAGTTGATCAGTGACAGAGAAAACATGCCCCATCCTGCCCAGCTGCTTCCTGGCACCAAAGACAAAGACTTGTGAGCCCCAGTTATCAAGACACACTTTTTGTTACTTTTTCAGTTCAGGCAAGGCCCAGCCCACACCACACAAGGCAGTTTGAGCTAAGTAGCAATTTTCGAGTTCCTCCTTTATGGCAGGTGTCACTGAGCAATAGAGACAAGGATCCTAAGGAAAGACAACAGATAGAAATCAGTATCAGAAAACTGTGCTGCACCCCCACAGAACCAGAGGAAGCTTTTGCGCAGTGACTTAAGTACCAACTGTCAAAGAGAAGATGGCCTTTAGAGTGAAAAGGGCTTCTGAACTTGCAACGGGAGGCAGGTGCAGAGTAGCAATGACAGCTTGAATCACATACCTTATAACTGAGGTATTTCATATCTATCAGTTGAGTGAGTTTATGAATGTAGGCATGAATAAATAGGTACATATCAGGGATGCTGCTTGTCTACAGAGGCATGATTGGAAATGTTACAGTCATTAGTCTTTTAGCATGTTCTCCTTGGCTCCAACTGAAGAATCACCGTCCAATGAAAATTAGCTCTGGAAAGTTGGAGGCCAAATGGAACTTCCGGCATAAACATCAGAACAGTGTGGCTGGGACACCTGTCCTCCTCAATAGGAGACAGCATGTGGCAGGGATGAAGAGAAGGAGGTCACTGTGTCTTTGGACAGGCTCTCTTTTGTTGACCTAGTAATGTCAGCTTCCCTTGAGCGTGTAGCTGATAAGACACATGAGCAGCAGAAACAACAGGGCATTTTCTTTTCTGATCAGCTACAGAGCACAGGAGTCATAGCAAGAACAAGATGTTCCTGGGCTGCTTTTATCTTGAGACTAGAAACACAAAAGTTTGGTGGTTGTCTTTGGAGTGCCAGAGTGGGACTACAGTGTCAGGATGATGACACTACAGGTGACCAAGAGTGAGCATGCTATCCTTACCCCATGCTAGCCCTATCAGACTCTTAAGCAATTTGAAATCTGCAAAGGAAGTAAGTAGAGCATCAGGTCCATTGGCTTGATTTTACATTCATGGCAGCACCGTAGAGAGAACACTCAGCCACTGATGTTCAAGAGTGATAGCATTTCTCTGCTTAATCATTTGATTCTTCAGTTAAATCTGTTAGGCCCACAGGTCCTTCCCATAATACCTGGTCCCACTTTACCTTTATCATTGGTCAACAGCAAAGGGTACACTATTTGAAGGAAGATAAAAAGATTTTTATTGTTGAGTGAGAATAGCTTGGTTAATGAGGAAGGGATTTCCTAAAAATCTGCATGATTGCTTTCACACATACAAATGCAGCATTCATATTTATATTCATAAGTAATTTGTCATGTTTCCTCAAAGGGGGGAAAAAAATCCTTTTCACCCTTATGAAGAGCCATAGTGACATCTACTGTTCACAAGAGGCAGCTCACGATGTTAGCTAGTGCAGGGACTCCTTCCTTCCTTTTTCCTTTCCTTTCCTTTCCTTTCCTTTCCTTTCCTTTCCTTTCCTTTCCTTTCCTTTCCTTTCCTTTCCTTTCCTTTCCTTTCCTTTCCTTTCCTTTCCTTTCCTTTCCTTTCCTTTCCTTTCCTTTCCTTTCCTTTCCTTTCCTTTCCTTTCCTTTCCTTTCCTTTCCTTTCCTTTCCTTTCCTTTCCTTTCCTTTCCTTTCCTTTCCTTTCCTTTCCTTTCCTTTCCTTTCCTTTCCTTTCCTTTCCTTTCCTTTCCTTTCCTTTCCTTTCCTTTCCTTTCCTTTCCAAGATGTGGCCCTTTAGCCGGGCGTTGGTGGCGCACGCCTTTAATTCCAGCACTAGGAAGGCAGAGGCAGGCGGATCTCTGTGAGTTCGAGGCCAGCCTGGTCTCCAGAGCGACTGCCAGGATAGGCTCCAAAGCTACACAGAGAAACCCTGTCTGGAAAAAAAAAAAAAAAAAAAACCGCAAATACAAACTACATCAAATATTTTTACACAGAACAACATTTTACCTGGGTAAAAGACAAAACTTCAATACTTTAGCATCAGGCGCAATAAAATAAAAAGTTCTCTATCGTTTTTTAAAAACTGCTTAGGATCTCCTTGTTATTAATAAGCATTAAGCTTCCGGGAACAGGTACCGCCCCTAAGCAGGGCTTAAGGCTACCGCGCTCCCTCTGCTCCCGCCCTGCTCCTGCAGGAGCTCCAGCTTCTGCGAGACCCGCCCCTCCGCCTGGAGACTCCGCCCATTCCCGCCTAAGCCCCGCCCAGCTCCTCCCGGCGGAATTTAAGATTGGGCTCTCAGACTCGAAGCTCCACTCAACTCCGCCAAGTCCTGCCCTCGACCTCTAAGACAACGCCCCTCTCCCCTCTCCGCGCGAGGGTGGCCAATGCGCGTGCGCGGGTGGCGTCACATCCGCCGACAGACCCCCAATCTCCGGAAGGAGCTGCAGAATAGTGGCGGCGATTTCTGCGTCCATCATTTGAGTTTCTTCCCTGCTGGAGGAGTGAGCTAACCCGGGG